TAACAGAATAACCAACTCACTGACACAAGCTCTAATACTCTACAACCATATGTATTTGACTAATATACAACCACAAGTCTACAATGACTAATAACAACATCCTACATTTGGGCCGAGTAGTCTTTGGCCCAACTGGGTGCTCCTTTGATCCTTTTTGGCTTATGTAGTGTAACACTCGCCTCGCCTTGAAGAGGAACCTTGTCCACAAGGTTCAGATAAGGATAAGAGGTTAACAGTTCTTCTTCATCTTCCCACGATGCGTCTTCTGGCAGGGAATTAGACCATTGAACAAGCCATTGCTTAATAGTTATTCCTTGTCTTGTAATATCCCTAGACATTAGAAGTGATAAAGGTTGTTGGACTGGAAAGTTATCATGGGATAAGGTTGGCATGGAAAGCACCGGTGTGTGAGAGTCACCTTTGAACGGTTTAAGGACCGAAACATGGAAGGAATGGTGAATTTTGCAGCCCTCTGGAAGCTCCAACTGGTATGCTACAAAACTGAGTACACGTTTGATTGGAAAAGGACCAAAGTATCTCTTTGCCAATTTTTGATTGTTGCGAGTAGCTACAGTTATCTGTCGATAAGGTCTCAACTTAACTAACACTAAATCGCCAACCGCCAAGAGAACATCCTTTCTGTGACGATCTGCTTGCACTTTCATACGATTTTGGGCTCCCACTAAATGCTTCTTAAGCTGTTGCAGCAGCTCCTCTCTATGACATAACATGGTATATATAGCTTCTATTTTAACAAAACCTCTCGGATAATGAGGGATCATCAAGGGAGGTGTGCCATACAAAGCTTGGAAAGGGGACATTTTTATGGAGGAGTGAAAGGCTGTGTTATAATGTAACTCAGCCCATCCCAAATACATGAACCAGGTCTGGTTTTCATCATGACAGAAAGCCCTCAGATACTGTTCAAAATAGCGATTTGTTACCTCTGTTTGGCCATCCGTTTGAGGATGGTAAGCTATGCTAATCTTCAACACGATACCACTGAGTTGAAATAAATTGGTCCAGAACTTGCTAAGGAAAATGCTGTCACGGTCAGATACAAGGCTACGAGGAATGCCATGTAATTTTACAACCATATCACAGAACAGCTTAGCAACTACTGCAGCCATATAATGAGCTGGTAATGCTCCAAAATGAGCATATTTCGTGAGACGATCAACTACCACCAAAATGGTAGAAAACCCGTGAGATACATGTAGTCCAGTGATGAAGTCGAGAGTTAGATCCTCAAATACTCCCTGGGGAATTGGTAATGGCTAGAGGAGACCTAAGGGAGCAGATGTTAAAGTCTTAATCATCTGACATGTAGGACAGCTTTTCACGAACTCAGTAATGTCCTTACACATCCTTGGCCAATAAAATGAAGCAGAAATTCGCAGAAGGGTGCGTGTGATACCTGTGTGTCCTCCCATTTGTGAAGAATGGGCTTCACTCATCAATGTGTCCCTCAGAGCAGAATTGGAACTCAAAAGGAAGCGATTCTTGTGGAAAAAAGTTCCATCTTTAACTGAAATATGAGGATCAGTACATTCATTAGCTAACAACTGTTAATGCAACAAGGCCAAATAAGAATCAGTCCTATTTTCCTTGCGTACTGCATCTAGAATCTGAAATGAAGGTTCTGAAAATAAAACCAACATTGTAGCAGCTGTATGATCCTCAAAGCTACGAGACAATGAGTCAGCCACAGTATTACACACTCCAGGTTTATACTCAATTTTGAAGTCATAACCCATGAGCTTGCAAGCATACTTTTGCTGCTCCATGGTTTGGACCGTTTGGGAAAGCAACTCCTTCAAGCTACGATGGTCAATCCGGATAATGAACTGAGAACCCAACAAATAATGTCGCCAACGTTTCACAGCCTCCACCACCGCATACAACTCACAGACATATGTGGATGCAACTCTCAAACGTGGACCAATTTTTTTGCTAAAAAAAGAAATAAGTCTCCCTTGTTGTAACAAAACTGCACCTACTCCAGTAGAAGATGCATCTGTTTCTACTACAAAAGGAATCGTGAATCAGGTAGTACAAGTACTGGGGTGGTAGACATGGCCTGCTTCAAGGCTTGAAATGCTTGTTGAGCTCCTTCATCCCAATGGAATGCGTCTTGTTTCAGTAAATCGGTTAGGGGGGATGCAATAGTTGCATAGTGACAAACGAACCTTCTGTAATAACTGGTGAGACCCAAAAAACCCCTTAGTTGTTTCACATTTCGCGGTTGAGGCCATTGAATCATTGCTTCCACCTTCCTAGGATCAGCTTTGACACCTTGTGCATTCACCAAGTGCCCCAAGTAATCGATTTCCGGTAATGCAAATGCACATTTGCTGAGCTTTACTAGGAAGCTATGCTCACTTAGGCAGTGTAAAGCAACCTGCAAATGATGAATATGCTCTTCCAAGTTCTTGCTAAATATTAGGATATCATAAAAAAAAAACAATGATGAATTTCCTGAAGTATGGCCGAAACATGCGGTTCATAGCGGATTGAAAAGTAGATGGAGCATTAGTTAACCCAAAGGGCATAACTAAAAATTCATAGTGTCCTTCATGGGTGCGGAAAGCAGTCTTATGAGTATCTCCAGGAACTAACCAGATTTGATGATAACCACTGCGAAGATCCAATTTGGAAAACACACTGGCACCATTCAACTCATCAAGGAGTTCATCGATGGTGGGAATTGGAAATCTGTCTTTAACCGTAATTTGGTTTAATGCACGATAATCCACACACATCCACCATGTCTTGTCAGATTTCTTTACTAATAACACGGGTGATGAAAAGGAGCTATGGCTCTCCTTAATGAACCCTGCTGCTAGGAGGTCAAAAATTTGCTTCTCAATTTCTGATTTTTGATTGTGTGCATAACGGTAAGGTCGGACATTAACAGCTCCTGCTCCTTCTACTAAATTGATGGCATTGTCATAATCTCTCTTGGGATAAAGGCTCTAAGGTAGTTGGAATACTGCTTGAAACTGGATGAGTAGCAACTAAATCTCTTCAGGAACCTTCTCCTTCAATGCAGATAATTCAGGGAGGATATCTGATTGAGAGGAAACCGGTTCTGCTCCAAGCAAAGTGAGGCAGTTAGCTTGCTGTTCCTTACAAGCTGAAATATTCTTGTCACCATACAGAACCACTTTGTTTCTGCCATATAAATTCTATAGTCATCTCACTGTAATCATGCAACACTCTGCCCAAATTCTCTAGCCACATTATTCCCAAGATGATGTCTGTATTCATGGTCAAGTCTATAACCCACAAATCGATGGTGAATACTTGCCCTTGAATATGCAAAACCACATTGGAACACTTTTTATCACAGGTCATAAACTCGCCATTACCCAAATACACATTCATCTGTTGTGTTTTGGACATAGGTAGACCCAAATTGTCCACCACCTTCCTTTTCACAAAATTATGGGAACTCCCAGAGTCTACTAGCACCAAAAACTGTTGCTCCTGCATACTGATTGAAAATTGAAAGGCACGAGAATTATGATTACCGGATAGAGAATTCAAAGTTGCATCGAAAGGCATGGCATTAGTACTATCAGGTTGCCAAACTATATGCTCCTCCGCTTCCTGATCTGTCTCATCTACATCTCCTATCATCAATAAGAGCTTAGCCTTGCATCTATGTCTGGAGGTCCATTTCTCATCACATGTATAGCATAAACCAAGATCACGACGCTTCTGCAAATACTCATTGGAGAACCTCTTAATTGGTATATTAGAGGGCAATGCTGGAACAAGTTTGTCTTGGTTGGTAGTGGAAGGTAATGCAAGGACATAGGAAGATTGGTTTGTTGTGGAAGGTAGGGATAATTGGGAGCTGGTGGGGTTACTGTCAGAAGCAAAATTGGACTTCTGAAAATTTATCTTGGGAAAGCTTGGGTTTGATGGAAAAGAAGAACGAAGGTCAATGAAATGTGCTTCATAGACTGCCAATTGCATTGCTTGGTTCAGGGAAATGGGTTTGTGAAGTTGGATTGCTCTCCTCAGTTCCAAGGATAAACCCGAAACAAAAAATGTCATCAAAACCTCATCTGAAAAATCATCAATTTGATTAATCAGGGATTCAAACTGTTGCATATAATCCGCTAAGGTACCTGTTTGCGTCAACTTGGATAGTACGCCTCTAAGATCCGAATAGGCAGAACCCCCAAAACGATGACACACGGCATTCTTAAGATCCTGCCATGTTCCAATCGACCCACCCTTGAAAAGCCATTGATACCAAGGGGAAGCTGGTCCGTCCCTCCATCTTCAATCCGGCAAGCCTTACCTTGTACTCCTTCGGAATCTGCTGTAAACCGAAATACAGCTCCGATTTAAAAATCCAACCATGTGGATCTGTCCCGTTGAAAGATGGAATTTCCATACGAACAACTTTTAATGGCAAAGAAAAATTCGCCAACGTTGCTCGAGGAATTGCAGAAGAACTCTCCTGTCGAACACGCTCATCTCTTCCCAAAATCAGTTCTTGAAGTTGTTGCATTTGCGCAACGAGATTCACGAACTGTGTTTGGTTTTCACGCTGACTTTCCACAAAGCGTTGATCGATCCGAACCTGAAAAGCATGATTTGCTTCTCTGTCCTGGTCAATTCGAAGTTGAAGAGAAGAAAATTCTTTGGCAAGTTCTTGGATATGCATGATGATGAAAGCACCAAATGATAAGAGTCAAGTTCTTATCGAGAGAAAAGGAACAAAGAACACTGAATTTCTGATTTAATTTCTGAATGAACGTAATCGATACAATGAGTTTCCAATATAAACTTTTGTCTGGTATATTCTAACAGAATAACCAACCAACTCACTGACACAAGCTCTAATACTCTACGCTCTAATACTCTACAACCATATGTATTTGACTAATATACAACCACAAGTCTACAATGACTAATAACAAGTCTTCGGCCCAACTGGGTGCTCCTTTGATCCTTTTTGGCTTCTGTAGTGTAACAATATGAGACACCGAAACTGGGTATCTAAGACATATCAAACAGACTATGTTACTGAGGGAGACACTACCTCCTAGTCCTTGGTGCTTGTTCAGTCAAACATCAAATTTAGCATCGTTCCATGTTATTCCATTCCCATGTTCTCAAGAAACACTCTTTGAAACTCTTAGTGCCCCCAACAACACTCACCAAAAAGACCCACTTTTCTTCACTCTCTTCCTCTTCCAACACTCACACTTACAGTGAAAGTCACACACACCCAAACCTTCTCAAACTCTGCATCCTTTCCCACACTCTTTCGCAAACCAAGCAACTCCACGCCTTTGCCATCCTCCATGGCTTCCTTCCCCGCAGTGTCTCCCTCTGTGCCTCCCTCATCCTCCAATATGCCACCTTTGGACACCCCACAACTTGCCTTCTTCTCTTCGAACACAGCGTTCCATATTCCCGCAGTGCCTTCTTGTGGAACACCCTTTCCCGTGCTAACTCCATTGCAGGAGTCTTTGATGGGTTCCGAGCCTATAACCGCATGGTTCGTGCTGGTGTTAAGCCTGATGATCACACCTACCCTTTTGTCCTGAAGGGGTGTTCTGATTTTATGGAGGTTGGGAAGGGTAGGGAGGTTCATGGGGTTGTGTTTAAGTTTGGCTTTGATTGGGATGTCTTCGTTGGGAATACCCTTTTGATGTTTTACGGTAATTGTGGGCTTTTTGCTGATGCAATGAAGGTGTTCGATGAAATGCGTGAGAGGGATAAGGTGTCGTGGAATACTGTTATTGGGTTGTGTTCTCTTCATGGGTTTTATAAGGAAGCAATTGGTTTTTTCAGAGAGATGATTGTAGCCACGTCGGGGATTAAACCGGATTTGGTTAGTGTTGTTAGTGTGTTACCGGTGTGTGCTGAGACTGAGGACGAGGTGATGGCGAGAATTGTGCACTGTTATGTTTTGAAGGTTGGTTTGTTGGGCAATGTAAAGGTTGGAAATGCGTTGGTTGATGTTTACGGGAAATGTGGGAGTGGGAAGGCTTGTATGAAAGTTTTTGATGAAATGGATGAGAGAAATGAGGTTTCCTGGAATGCTATTATTACTAGTTTTTCTTTTAGAGGGCTCTATATGGATGCTTTGGATGTATTTAGGTTGATGATTGATGCTGGAATGAGACCGAATTCTGTCACCATTTCTACTATGCTACCTGTATTGGGAGAACTTGGACTTTTTAAGCTGGGAATGGAAGTCCATGGGTTCAGTTTAAGGACGGCTATTGAGTCTGATATTTTTATTGCTAACTCATTGATAGATATGTATGCGAAATCAGGATCTTCAAGAATAGCGTCCACTGTATTCAACAAAATGGACGATAGAAATATTGTGTCTTGGAATGCTATGGTTGCGAATTATGCTCAGAACAGGCTTGAGTTTGCAGCGGTAGAATTAATAAGGCAAATGCAAGCTCATGGAGAAACCCCCAACAATGTAACCTTCACAAATGTTCTTCCAGCTTGTGCAAGATTAGGTTTCCTGAATGTTGGAAAAGAAATTCATGCCAGGATAATACAGGCCGGATGTGCCTTTGATTTGTTTGTCTCTAATGCTCTGACAGACATGTATTCAAAATGTGGATGCTTAAAACTTGCTCAAAATGTCTTCAATATTTCTGTCAGGGATGAAGTTTCCTACAACATACTAATTATAGGCTATTCTCAAACAACTGACTGCTCAGAGTCTCTAAATTTGTTTTCAGAAATGAGACTCTCTGGCATGATGCCTGATATTGTTTCATTCATGGGTGTTACATCAGCTTGTGCAAATCTGGCTTCCATAGAGCAAGGCAAAGAGATCCATGGGCTGCTGGTAAGAATGCTTTTTCACACTCATCTTTTTGCAGCAAATTCACTCTTGGATTTATACATGAAGTGTGGTCGAATAGATCTTGCTACGAAGGTCTTTGACCATATTCAAAACAAGGATGTGGCTTCTTGGAATACTATGATTTTGGGTTATGGTATGCTAGGTGAGTTGGACACTGCAATCAACCTTTTTGAAGCAATGAAGGAAGATGGTCTGGAATATGATTCAGTTTCATTTATTGCAGTTTTGTCAGCATGTAGTCATGGAGGGCTAATTGAGAAAGGGAGCAAATACTTTAAGAAGATGAAAGATCTTAATATTGAGCCAACACATATGCACTATGCTTGCATGGTTGATCTACTTGGAAGGGCTGGTCAAATGGAAGAAGCTGCCGACCTTATTAGAGGCCTCTCTATTGTACCAGATGCTAATATATGGGGTGCACTACTTGGAGCGTGCCGAATATATGGGAATGTAGAATTGGGACGCTTGGCAGCTGAGCATTTGTTTAAATTAAAGCCTGAGCACTGTGGATACTATATACTCCTTTCAAATATGTATGCAGAAGCTGAAAGATGGGATGAGGCAAACACGGTCAGGGAATTGATGAAATCAAGGGGAGCTAAGAAAAATCCTGGTTGCAGTTGGGTTCAAATTGGAGATCAGGTGCATGCATTTCTAGTTGGTGAGAAAATAGATAGCTTGGATACTGGCTTTTGGCAATCAGAATGTTGTTAACTTTGTTAACCATCAAGTAAATCGTTGGGAGGTTGCCGGACTAGACGATTATACAGTTATAAGCATTTCTGGTTGCATGAACTAACCGGATTTTGATTTTTCTTTTTACTGTTTAACTGCATTCCTTGGGACACTATTCATTTATTTGTTTTAATTTGTGTTTAGCACATTTATCAATCTAACATTATGATGAAAATTCTTAGGAATTGAGGTAATGCAAGTTCCTCTAGCAGGAATTATTGGTTTGATTTTTGTTAATTTCATGATTAAGATTATGCTTGTGTTATCTCTACAAGTCCAGGATAATGGATCCCCATTGAAGCCCTGTCCCAACTACTCCCTGTTTCTGATTTATGTTTAGAAGGCAATGTTTACATTGTGTCGACACCAAGTGCCAGTGGAAGTTCTGTTTTCATACCACTTGATTCTTTTAAGCTTCTTGGAGATTGAGAAACGATGATTTTTGTGGTGATATTTTCAAATGATATTTTAAGTTGAGTCTTGGCATAACAAGGTTGAGATGGCTTGTGATCTGTGAAAGTAAAATGGTCTTGAAGGGAAAAACAAAATTTTTCATATGCGGAATTACACATGCAATCAAGAATCATGCTTTATGGTATGTGACGTTACCTTTGTTTGTGAGTTCAAAACTCCAAGACGATCAGTGTTAGGTTTGAAGGGTTCAAACCCTCTAACGTTGATCCACACCACTCACGTCAAGATGCAAGAACGCTTTCTTGAAAGCCACCAATTGACCACCACAGAGAGGCTTGCTATGCGCTCAATAGGTGAAGAAAGAGGCTAGGTATATGTGTTTAGAAGAGTGAAGTCTCCAGCATGAAAACTTCACAAGAGTTGGAATGGTATATAGAAGAATTGGCTAGGTTCTTTTGAAAAACCTTAAGGAGGAACTCACCAACTAGGCGCACAAGAGAAGGAGAGAATTAGTGTTACAAATCAGAATTTTACTTTACTTATAATGAAAGTGGCACACAAGTGAGTGAGACAAAGGTGGAGTTGTTGCAATTCAAAAATCCCAACAACCTCCCATTTGAATCCTCATAAGACTAGGTCTTTATCTAATCAAAAAGCTGAACCAATGGTCATCATATGACCACCAATTCATGCGCCCCTATTCAGCCCAAAAAGGGTCCAGATACATTTGAGCTGTTGCATTCAAGTTTGAACCAACTAGCTCACTGATTCTCTCAACAACCAAATCTGATTGGAGCTTGTTGATTTGACAAGATGACAATCATCTCCCACCAAAATGGCGCCCCAAATCAGCCCTTGGAGATCTCCATAGATCTTCTCTTGATACAAGGGATTTGTTCCAACAAGATCTCATCTTATCCTTTTGTTCTGAAACAACTTTTCATAGCCAATTCAAATTCGAATTCAAACATTTAAATTCAAACGTTCAAACATTTAAATTCTAAATTCAAATTCAAATTTCAAATTCAAATTTCAAATTCAAAAATCAAAATTCAAAATTCAAAATTCAAAATTCAAATTCAAAATTCAAAATTCAAAATTCAAATTTCAAATTCAAAATTCGAATTTCAAAATTCCAATTCAAAATTCGAATTTCAAAATTCAAATTCAAAATTCAAAATTCAAAATTTAAATATTTGATAATTAATTTAACTAATTAAATTAATTATAATGTCTTGGACCATCCAAGCCCATTAACAATACCATGCGCCCTTTCCCTCTTAGGTGAGCTTCCAAACTTCATCTTGGGCTAACAACCATTATTAGGCCCAATACCTTTATTACTATATCTTCATGACATTAAGGTGTTAGTGTGTGACCCATTAGGTCCAACATAGCCACTAACATAAATGGGCTCGGGCCCAACAAGCCCACAACCCATTTAATGACAACACAGAGCACTAGCAATGCTTTGTTGCCCCAGAGCTAGTTAGATTAATGACTTGATCATCCTATTACACATATTTGGTTGCTGTATGTATTTCTTTTTCGTCTCGGTTACCTTCCCATAAAACCTAGGGTAAGGAAGCGTATCAACCCTTGCGGTTTAGGGTAAGCTTTATTCGAAATAGGGAATCTTCAATTTACTGACTCTAAAGGCAGATCATCTCATGATCTCTTTTACTATGCATAGATTCCCGAGTCCCTGTAAATGTCATCCCGATTTCTCCGGTTTACAGATAACCTAATCTCTCACAGAGATTTGACGAATTTCTTCAGCTTATCACCCTAGCCTTGTGCTCTTTCAGGACAAGCCCAACAGTATACCTATGAGTCTCCATGTTTCAGGAAGACGAGGTATTCAGTCAAAGCATGCCTTCTAGAACACAGTCTAGGTAATAACTTCTGGTCTAAGGAAAGACATACCCAAATATAAAGAGACTACTCTAATGATACTCTTATAGATCCACCCACGACTTTAGCTAAGACATCTCCATATCTGTAGCTCATGAGGTCTTTACCTTGCATCCGACTACAAGTAGATAAGTCGTGCTAGTCTTACCCGAGATCACTGATCCTCATTCTCAATGTCTCTAGACTAGGAACATAAAATTAGGAATAAATATCTAATATCCTTGAATCCTCATGATCGTGATCTCATCACAGATACTCAAGAGATTCATATTTTATTCCAAGGGGTTTATCCAGTTACTCATATAAAATATTAACAGTAATATTGAGACAAAATATAAAACAGGATAAATAGTGCTTTTATTTATTTGCGACAATACAAAGGTCCACATATGTCCTAATCTAATTAAAAGATTGTCTCTAGGACATCCATATATAACAAGCTCCCACTTGGCCTAGAGCCAATCAGACCTAAGTCGTATACCCAAAGCCTCATAATTACTATCATGTTTTCTCTGAGAAACAGCCTTCGTCGGAGAATCGGCTAGGTTATCATCTGTGGGAATATAATCCATCTTTACATCCATCCTATCAATGATTTCTCTAATCAGGTGATATCTGCGGAGCACGTGCTTAGATCTTTGATGAGACCTAGGTTCCTTTGACTGCGCAATGGCTCTAGTGTTGTCGCAAAGCAACTGTATGGGCTCATTCACGCTTGGAACCACCCTAAGTTCATATATGAACTTCTTCATCCACACGGCCTCCTTAGCTGCTTCTGAAGCAGCTATATATTCAGCTTCTGTCGTTGAATCTGCTGTTGTCTCCTGCTTGGAACTCTTCCAAGATACTGCCCCACCATTTAAGGTGAATACGAACCCTGACTGTGACTTGCAGTCATCTTTGTCACTCTGAAAGCTGGCATCAGTGAACCTTTTCACTGTTAGCTCATCAACCCCACCATAGACCAGAAACGCATCCTTAGTTCTTCTTAAGTATTTAAGGATGGTCTTGACTGCTTCCAGTGACCCTCTCCAGGGTCCGACTGGTATCTGCTCGTAATGCTCAAAGCATATGAGACATCTGGTCTCGTACATATCATGGCATACATGATGGATCCAATAGCCGAAGCGTATGGAATTCCACTCATGCGATCCTTCTCAGGCTGTAACTTAGGACACATAGCCTTTGAAAGATGTACCCCATGACTGACGGGAAGAAAACCCATTTTCGACCCTTCCATGCTAAACCTCTTTAGCATCTTGTCAACATACGTGGATTGAGATAAACCCAGCAGCCTCTTAGATCTATCTCTATAGATCTTTATACCAAGTATAAATGCCGCTTCTCCCAAATCCTTCATGGTGAAGCCTTTTGAAAGCCACTCTTTCGTTATATGTAATGTGGGGATGTCATTTTCTATTAACAATATGGTATCTACATAAAGTACCAGGAAGACGACATTACTCTCACTAACCTTCTTGTAAACACAAGGTTCATCCTCGTTCTTGATAAAACCGTTACTCTTAACGACTTCATCAAAACGAATATTCCAACTCCTTGATGCTTGCTTTAGCCCATATATCGACCTTTGAAGTTTGCATACTATATGCTCCTGATCTTTAATTTCAAAGCCCTCAGGTTGTGTCATGTATACTTCCTCCTTCAAGAACCCATTCAAGAAGGCGGTCTTGACATCCATTTGCCAAATTTCATAGTCGTGATATGCCGCTATTGCAAGCGTGATCCTAATAGATTTGATCATGGCAACAGGCGAGAAAGTATCATCATAGTCAACTCCTTGTCTTTGACGATACCCTTTCGCAACCAACCTAGCTTTGTAGGTCTGAACGTTGCCATCTGCATCAGTCTTTCTTTTAAAGACCCATTTGTTACCGATAGGAACTATTCCTTGCGGTTTAGGAACCAAGGTCCATACCTTGTTTTGATACATCGAATCCATTTCAGATTCCATGGCTTCAAGCCATCTAGAAGAGTCAACATCCTTGACTGCCTCTTTGTAGTTACTTGGTTCATCATCCTCGACGATTTGCTGATTCTCAATCACAAACCCATACCTCTCAGGTGGATGGATGACCCTTGTTGACCTACGGAGTTATGTGTTTACTTCTCCATTGGAGAACGTCTCCCGCGGAGCAGACTCGGGTTCCTCAATCTGTTCATGTGGTTCTTGAACTTCTTCAAGATCAATTTTACTCCCACTGGCTCCTTGAGAGATCAAATCCTTCTCAAGGAACTTACCATTCTTTGACACAAACACCTTGTGTTTATCCATGGAGTAAAAGTAGTATCCCTTAGTACCTTTGGGATACCCCACAAATAGACATTTAGTACTCTTAGCACTAAGTTTGTCTGATGCCAACGCTTTGACATAAGCTGGCGATCCCTATACCCTGAGGTAACTTAGGTTGGGTCTCTTACCATTCCATATCTCATATGGTGTGATCTGAACAAATTTAGACGGTACCCTATTTAGAAGGTATGCCGCTGTGTCTAAGGCATATCCCCAAAACGATTTTGGAAGTTGAGTCTCACTCATCATAGACCTGACCATGTCTAACAAGGTCCTGTTTCTCCTTTCGGAGACACCATTTTGGTATGGTGTGTAAGGTGCAGTAAACTGCGAGAGAATTCCATTTTCTCTCAGATAATCTTGAAACTCATAGCTCAGATATTCACCACCACGATCTGATCGTAATGTCTTAATCATCTTGCCACGCTGTTTCTCTACTTCATTCCTAAACTCCTTGAACTTTTCAAAGGCTTCAGATTTATATCTCATTAGGTACACGTACCCAAATCTTGATTTGTCATCAGTAAAGGTGATGAAATAGGAGTATCTTCCTCTAGCCTCTATAGACATTGGCCCACAAACATCAGT